GCAGCCACAGAAGAAAAGATGGAAGCCAACAGAGGTTGGTTCTTGAGATTTAAGGAAAGAAGCCATCTATATAACATAAAAATAGAAATACATTCCTTGGCTGGGTGCAGTGGCTCGCACCTATAATACTAGCACTCTCGGAGGCTGAGGTGGAGGATTGCTTGAGCTCAGGAGTTAGAGATCAGCCTGAGCAAGAGCAAGACCCCATCTCTACTAAAAATAGAAAAATTAGCTGGCCGTCATGGTGTGCACCTATAATCCCAGCTACTTGGGAAGCTGAGGCAGGAGGATCAGATGAGCCCAGGAGTTTGAGGTTGCTGTAAGCTATGACGATATCATGGCACTCGCCCAGGCAACAGAGAGAGACTCTATCGAAAGGAAAGAAAGGAAAGAAAGGAAAGAAAGGAAGGAAAGGAAGGAAAGGAAGGGAGGGAAAAGGAAAGGAAAGGAAAGGAAAGGAAAGGAAAGGAAAGGAAAGGAAAGGAAAGGAAAGGAAAGGAAAGGAAAGGAAAGGAAAGGAAAAGAAAAGGAAGAAAAGTAAAGAAAAAGGAGAAAGGAAGGAAGGAAGGAAAGGAAAGGAAAGGAAAGGAAAGGAAAGGAAAGGAAAGAAAGGAAAGGAAAGGAAATACATCCCATAAGGCTATAGCTGCTAGACAGAGTGACTGCTCTTACAGATCTGGTCAAAGTCCATTGAAAACCTTCTGAAAGCAATTACCATTCTAGATGCCATTAAGGGCATGTGTGATTCATAGGTGAAGGTCAACATTGTCAACATGAACAGGAGTTTGGGAGAAGTCGATTCTGACCCTCATGGATGACTTTGAGGGGTTCAAGACTTGAGTGGAGGATGCAGAAGTGGTAGAAATGGCATGAGAGCTAGAATTAGAAATGCAGCCTGAATGCGTGACTGGATTATTTCAATCTCATGATAAAACTTGAATAGTTTGCTCATCTTATGGATGAGCAAAAAAAAGTAGCTTCTTGACATAGAATCTACTTCTGGTGAAGACACTATAAACATTGCTGAAATGACAATAAAGGATTTAGAATATTACATAAACTTAGCTGATGAAGCAGCAGCAGGATTTGAAAGGATTAACCCCAATTCTAAAAGTTGTTCTACTGTGGGTATTATGCTATCAAACAGCACCACATGCCACAAAGAAATCTTTTGTGAAAGCACAAGTTGACTGATGCAGCCAATTTCACTGTCGTCTTATTTTAAGAAATTGCCATGGCCGGGCACGGTGGCTCACGCCTGTAATCCCAGTACTCTGGGAGGCTGAGGTGGGCGGACTGTTTGAGCTCAGGAGTTCAAGACCAGCCTGAACAAGAGTGAGACCCCGTCTCTACTAAAAAAAAAAAATAGAAAGAAATTAGCTGAACAACTAAAAATATATAGAAAAAATTAGCCAGGCATGGTGGCGCATGCCTGTGGTCCCAGCTACTCGGGAGGCTGAGGCAGAAGAATTGCTTGAGCCCAGGAGTTTGAGGTTGCTGTGAGCTACCTGACACCACGGCACTCTAGCCCAGGCAACACAGTAAGACTCTGACTCAAAAAAAAAAAAAAAAGAAAGAAAGAAATTGCCACAGCCGCCCCAACCTTCAGAAACCACCACCATGGTCAGTCAGCAGCTGCCCTCACTGAGGCGAGACCCTCCACCTGCAAAAAGAGTATGACTAACTGAAGGCTCAGATGGTCACTAGCATTTTTTTAGCAATCAAGTATTTTTAATTAAGATATGTACATTGTTTTTTAAAGACAAAATGCTATTGCACTCTAAAAAGACTACAGTATAGTATAAACATAACTTTTGTATGTATTGAGAAACCAAAAAAATCCGCGTGACTTGCTTTATTGTGATATTTTCACTTTATTGCAGTGGTCTGGAACTGAACCCACAATATCTTCAAGGTCTGCCTGTAATTTAATCCTTATAACAATTTATGAGATATATACACTCTTGCCCTAATTTTATAAATGAGAAAGCGAAGGCCCAGTGAGTCACTGGGCCTTATACACATACTATACATCAGCAGTCAGGACCCGACCACAGCCAGCCAGCGCGACTCCTGACTCATGTGCATGGAAATTACATTTAGAGGAGTAAGAGTTGTAATTGGGGGGGGGAGGGTGGTAAAGTTTTCAATAAAAAATTAGAAAGTAAATCATTCAACACAAGTCTCAATGAAGTGCTACGCCATTAGTCTATTTCTCGATTCCACCACTTCTAAAACTTAGAAATATAATATTTATACAGACAGGCTGCCATTCACCCTCATTTTATAAAAATGGATACTTTTACGGTTGAGACAACACACACACACAAAAAAAAACCACCTGGAACTCGGCTCTGGTTTTGCCCCAGATTTCTTTTTCATGCATGAACTGCAGCACGCAGCCAAAAAAGCTTGCTAAATAAATCTTGTGTGTCTGTGAAAACTCTTCCAGGGCTCACCACCACCACGGCCCTGGAACCGCTCCTCACGGTTCTCACAGCAGCTCACTGAGGGATGAAGACGTCCTCACTCACACCCGCAACCCCCTTCTGGGCCCCCACTGCCACAGACGGAAGCTCCTGCCTGCTCCTGGCAGTAAAAATGGCGTCTTTCTGTACCCTTGGCATAGACATTCTAGAGCCTCTACAGTCCAGGCTGCCTGTGAGGTAAAGGTGAACCATCGTCACAACAGAAAGGGGACAGATGGAAGCCAAGGCCCTAGTGTTCTACTGAGCACAAATCCCTCAACTACAACTATGGCCGTCCCCAGATGGGTTTTAAGAAGAGGTTGGGCATTCAGATACACCACCACAAAACACTTCCAAGGCAGTCTTGGGTCAGAGACCCCAGGATTCCTGAAGGCCTGCCTGGCACCTGCCTAGTCTGCTAGAGTAGAATGTTCCTAGAGATATGGATAATAAGGAAAGGCGGCTCAAAACAAAGATAAGAGAAATATATATCTGTTTAAATGGCTAAGGAGAGTGACTCAAAGACCATCATCACACAAAGTCAATTTATCCAGAGGTGTGTGTGTGTGTGTGTGTGTGTGTGTGTGTTTGTTTGTTTGTTTTGAGACAGAGTCTCACTTTGTTGTCCAGGCTAGAGTGAGTGCCGTGGCATCAGCCTAGCTCACAGCAACCTCAAACTCCTGGGCTCAAGCTATCCTTCTGCCTCAGCCTCCCGAGTAGCTGGGACTACAGGCATGTACCACCATACCTGGCTAATTTTTTCTATATATGTTAGTTGGCCAATTAATTTCTTTCTATTTATAGTAGAGACGGGGTCTTGCTCTTGCTCGGGCTGGTTTTGAACTCCTGACCTGGAGCAATCCGCCCACCTCAGCCTCCCAGAGTGCTAGGATTATCGGCATGAGCCACCACGCCCAGCCTACCCAGAGGTTTTTAAGACTAGCAGAGATGGCTGAAGAAACCACTATCATGCTAACGTATGCCCCTGGAAGAAGAAAGTGGTTGGTAGGTTGGTCATGGCATCCGGGAAACAACTGGTTCAGAAAGCCAGTTCTCCTCCCTACTGGTAAATCCTGGCCCTCTTCCAAGAGCGACTTACTGTTCAAAGAGAAGCGTGTTTCTTGGTGCTAACAGAGCTACACATGGTTCTCTACGACATAGCTCATGGCCACCACCTCATCGTCTCCTTCATACACACGGGAAGGCCAGGCCAAGCTACCACTGGATATTCTAGAACATGTACATGGAGGTTGGCACAGGATCACCAAGCAGCTGCTAGGACTTCTCACCTACAGCTCCTCCTTTTCCCTAAGGTCCCGGACAAGCTCGTTATTAATTCAATTCCTTCAGGCAGGTCCCAAACTCTGGGCAGGAAGTCGGGACACCATGCTGACAGAGAGCCTTGCAGGACACAGGCTGCTCCACCCCATGGCCCATTGCAGACAACACGGTAACCAGGCAACATCAGCTACCAGAGGGACTCTGAAGTCCCCAGATGGTGCTGCCAGAGAACCGAAAGTTATTACAAAGTAACACAAATAGATTTCTTTCACTCAATAAGTCTATCACACAGCAGACAGTTAACAATGCCATGACTATGCTATTTGAAGAACTACTGTTCCAGGTCTCTTGGCCCTCACACCACACCTCTGCCATCACAAGCATCTACGAAACCATCTCAGTGTCACTTACCAATTCAAATACCTGCATTCCCCTACCTACGGTTTATCAAAGCAAACGTCCATGTCTCTTCCAAACTGCCCCAAATTAAGATAAATTATCAAATTACCAGGAGTCACTAAAGATCTGACACAGTCTTTGAGAAGTTCAGAAAAGGTCCTGAATAGGTCCTTTTTTATTCTTTTTTATTTCTGACACTGTCCCGATGAGCCAGAGAGAGAGCCGGAAAAAAATGATTTGTTTTGAAATCGGTCCTTCCCATCCCACTCACAAGGAAGTAGAGTCAAGTGCAGAGTTGCTCTGTGAGGCTGTGGACAGGACTAACTCTGTCCTCGCAAATGGGACCCTCACTGGCACGGCCATGGCACGGTCCCCCATGGCGGCAGTGTGGCTTTGCCGCCCTGGTCAGCATCCCAACCCGTTCAGCCATGGTGCCACCTCCTCCAGCTCAGCCCTTGGCAACAATACTTAGCCCTCTTCTCCCCTAGACTGATGACTTCATTAAGTTAAGGAAATAAAAAATGCGTCCTGTATAAATAAGATATCCTCCCCCACATGAAATCCAATGTTGATAAGACGTGGAGAGAAAAACAATACTTTTTAATTCTGAGCAAGGAATATTTTAGAACAGTGCAATAATGTGGAGGCTTAATCTTGGCTCTACAGAATAAGCTAGAGAAAGAAGAAGATGGGTCCCAATAGCAAGACTGATGGATTCAAATCCACTTTAGTCTTGGAGATTTCTCTCGCCCACCTTTTATTCTGGCAGGGTAGAGAGAGCCTCAAGTCCACGTAAGAACAGGGTAGCACCCACTACCTCAGTGCAGGCTGGCATGCTGTGCCACTACTCACCTGTGCCATTGGCCAAGCCACTGTGGCTTGAGTTCTTTCTGGGCTGGCGGTGACGGTTCCTAGCGCCGGGGCTTTGCTCGCTGGTTGCTGTGGTTGTTCTGGCTGAACCACCTGAATGTCTGTGCGTCCTGGGGGTTCAAAGTAGAAAGCAGACAGATATAAGTCACTGTGAAAAAGAAAGACTTGTTTTCTGCCTAAGTCATCATATTCCCTCTCTCACTATTTATTGGAAGCAAGGCATTTAATAGCCTCTCTAGTTTTTGACTCTAAAGAAGCTGGCTCCAAGCAAAGAGACCCAGGGAAGCTTCCTTCCCCGTGAAAGCTCAGAAGACAACTTTGTGCAAACTTTTCCACTTGAAGTAAACAAATCCGGAGTGAACTGCCCCTACATCTGAAACAACTGGCAAAATATCCTGTGACTATCACATTATTTTTATTGGGCTCAAATGCTAGAAATAAACAAGAATCACTAGACTGCCTACAGATGAAATATTTCTCCCATTAAGCAAAAAAAGCCCAAAATGCATCCAAATCAATTTTCTATATAGCTACAAAGATGACTCTCTTGGGAACAGAAGTGAAAGGGCATTAAACAATTTTAGTCCATGTATATATTTTTGAGTTTTAACTAGAAAAGATGACTCAACAGTCCACCCAAGTAAATGAGAACAATTCAGAAACGGATCGAAATTACAAAGAAAATAGTAGGATCTAGCACCAGAAAAACCTATTTGACATCTTCAGAGAACACAAGGCCACTTGTGTTCTCCAGTTCCTTGTGTAGCTTGACTTTGCTCACTCAGTGAAAGTGTCTAAGCTTCCCAGCCCTTCGGTTCAGCTATTTCTGCTTCACCAAAGCCGATTATTCTACTACTTAGTAATTACATACTACTTTGCAACAATGAGATGGTTTAAATACCAACCATTTCGTGAAGAAAAGACTGACTCTCCCCAGGCAAAGAAACAGAGGCCCAGGGACAATTTACACCACATGACATGGAGCAGTAAGATTACTCTCAACAATAAGAGTAATAATAACGACCATAAAGGTATACAATATTCATTGAGCTGTAACATTATGTTCCAGACCCCATGTGTGCAATGCACTTTAAATATACTTTCTCATTTAACATGGGAACCCTAAAGGTACCTTACTACTATTATCCTCATTTTACATCTAAGAAAACAGACACAGAGAAGTTCTCTCGGAAGTAAGCAGGAACAAAGATTCATATCCAGGCAGTTTAATGTCAATAGTCCATGCACTCTGGCTGGAGGGTAGGGTGGCAAGCCTGGACTTAAGCTGAATTCCTCTTGGGCTATTCTTTCACCAGTCACTTGGGCAATGGTGAGATTAAGACCTATAACCGAAAGTTCCCAATGGCAGGACCCACACCCACCAGAATGTCCACACTGGTAAGAGTCTCTAGCCCAGTGTGTTGGCATAAGCCTGCCACAAAATAAACAGGAGGTTTCTAGAAAGAAACAGATTTTTCTGACAAGACAGACACAAACTAAAATGTTAACACTGATTATCTTTGGATGTTGGGAACATGGATGCTCTTTTGTGCTCTTCTAGATTCTTCTTGTGTCCTTTTGAGGAAAAAAAAAACACAAACTTCTTTTAAAAGAAAAAAAGTTTTTCTTGAGCCAGAAAGAAAAAGAAAGAAAGAAAGAAAGAAAGAAAGAAAGAAAGAAAGAAAGAAAGAAAGAAAGAAAGAAAGAAAGAAAGAAAGAAAGAAAGAAAGAAAGAAAGAAAGAAAGAAAGAAAGAAAGAAAGAAAGAAAGAAAGAAAGAAGACAGACAGACATACAGACAGACAAAGCTAGCGAACTCTGGAGTCCTTCATACCTAAAGACTGCGTGGCAGTTAAAAATGGAGTGAGCGAACGACTGAGCTGTGGAAATAAAGATTCAATTTGGACTCTCTTTTTCCATCTTATTTTTCCCTGAGCTAATTTCATAAATCAAAAGCTGTCAGCCACACCTCAGTCAAAGCAAAATATTTCAAAGTCCCCACTTCATGGGAAGAAATGTTAGCATTAAGCATTTTACCACAACTCCTCATCGAAAGCAGAAAGAGCACAAACGAGTTCCAAAGAGACAGGCGGTCGTTAGCAAACCCGTGGCTGTGTGTATGTGTGTGTACGTGGTGAGGGCAGAGAGCTTGAGAGAGAGAAAATTGGTTAATAGAAGGTTTATTTCGGCCAAGAATCCCCTTTGGAGGACAAAAAGCCGCTGTGATTTGGGACTCACAGCCTCCAGGAGAGGGCCGTACCCCTCAAGGAGCAGCAGGCCACGTGGGCAGCACAGAAAATGCAACGTCAACCCCACTGGACACACGGGCCGTGACAAGTCCATGATTACTTCCAGCCTCCGGGGCTCCTTGTCCCTCTGCAGAGCAGCTGGGCATGACAACAGGGTGGGTCCCCTTACTCTCCTGGCCCCTCCCTCCCTTCCCCGAAAGGCCATGCGGCCAGAGTTGAGAGAGAGACTTTCAGAAATGTTTAACCACTAATGATAGCAGCTGACCCCGAATGACAGGCTAGAGCGGGGCTGGGATTAGCCCGTAAACCATGGGCAGCTGGGACCACTTTACGTGAATTGCCACCTCCCTGCCTGTGGCAAGCCCGCCCCCCACATGCACATACCACACATGCTCCGGACTCCCCTGGTGCCCTAACTGTGGAGCTCCAAGTTCTTTGCTCTTGTATTACCTTGAAAATAAGACACTCAGAAAGAAGAGAAGGCCTCAACATTTGAGGGTCATTTCCTCAAGCTGTTTCCTCTCTTGGAGAACTCTCTCAACCCTTAAAAGATGGGATCCTGTAGTGATTAAAAGCTGGCCCAGGGGCTGAAACCACACATCACCGGCCAAAATGGCACCGGCACAAATGCGAGCTGATGGGGTGAGTTGAGCCGGACCCCGCCACATACAGCCAGGCTCAGCTCTGCCCATGACTTCAACCTTGGCCTGATCCCATTAGGGGGCACCGTTTAGAGGGCAAGGAGTAGTTATGCAGACCCTGGGGCAGTCAGAAGGGGACTGAACGGCCGTGCCAGTTGGGCCAAACTCCATGCATGGTTTCAAGTCACCTCACTACTGAAATTCAGCTCTCCTTACAGCCTGCCCTTCTCGGAAAGCCAATGTGTCCTGCTCCAAGTCCCTCTCTCAGAAACCAAAGCATCCCTAAGGAAAGCCACTTAAGGCCAGAGACTATGGTCCTCAGAGCAGTTCTGATGCAGATGAGGTCCCCAGGAGACGGCTCCTGGCTGTCCCTTGGCATCTAAGCTTTGAAATTCACAGCACTGGCCTCAGACCTCAGCTGCACCCGGACAGCCAGAGACTTGGGTGCCTTGGGATATCTTGCCTCGCCTTTCATGAAGGCCACTAAATTGTACTCAAGCATTATTTTCTGAGTGCCAGGCCCTATTCTAGGGCTGGCAACAAAACAGAGTCCCTGACCTTAAGGAGCATACACCTTAGTGGAAATTCAGTGATTTCTAATTCTGCTCAGGTGCAAATTTCCATCACAATATACCATGTTTGTATGTGGGAGCCACTCAGCTAGTGCATGAGCCTAGTTGACGACGTGGCAGTGTCCCCTCAGTGCAGCCTGCTGACCATCATCATACAAGCACTGGTTCCATGAGGAGTAATTAAACAAAAAATAATTTTGTTTATTTGGTTAAAAAAAGGAAGCCTTGGTTAGGTGCAGGGGCTCATGCTTATAATCCTAGCACTTTAGGAGGCGGAGATGGGAGGATCACTTGAGGCCAGGAGTTCAAGACCAGCCTGGGCAACACAGTGAGAATTCACCTCTAAAAGAAATTTTTTTTAATTAGCTAGGCATGGTTTCTCGTGCCTGTAGTCCCCGGCACCCAACTCAGGAAAAGCTGAAGCAGGAGGATTGCTGAAGCCTGGGAGTTTGGGTTGCAGTGAGCTGTGATTGTGTCACTTCACTCTAGCCTAGGTGACAGAGCAAGACTCTGTCTAAAAAAGAAAAAAGGAAGTCTTGTCAAACAACAATATGGATCTACTCACTACTACTGAACTATACACTGAGAAATGGTTAAAATGGTAAATTTTGTTATGTGCTTTTAACCACAATTAAAATTTTTTACAAAAGGAAGGAAGGGAGGGAGGGAGGGAGGGAGGAAGGGAAGCCAAGCCTAGCACTGGTAAAGTAAGTGAAAACAAAGTGAAGGTTCCAAAAAAGTAACGGCTCTCAAGCCAGAAAATACATTTTTTTGCTAAATTAACAAGTGGAATTCAAAATTTGGTGGAGGCTTAGAACTTGAGACTGATAAATCTACCATATACTTTATGTAAAAATTGATTATTTATTTATTTATTTTTGAGACAGAGTCGCACTCTGTCACCCTGCCTAGAGTACAGTGACATCATTGTAGCTTACTACAATCTCAAACTCCTAGGCTCAAGCGATCCTCCTGCCTCAGCCTCCCAAGTAGCTAGGACTATAGGGGTGTACCATAACACCCACCTAATTTTTCTATTTTTAGTAGAGACAGCATTTTGCTCTTGCTCAGGCTGGTCTTGAACTCCTGACTTCGAGCAATCCTCCCCCCTTGGCCTACGAGAGTGCTAGGATTATAGGCTTGAGCCACTGTGCCCAGCCTAAAAAGTGATTTTAAAAAGCAGTTTATTCCTACAACTCAACAACAGCAACAACAAAAAAAAAACACCTGATTTGAAAATAGACATAGATCTTGAATAGACATTTATCCAAAGATGACACACGATGGCCAACAAGCACATAAAAAGACACTTAGCATCACTACTCATGAGGGAAATGAAAATCAAAACTACAATGAAATATCCTCTCACATCCATTAGGATGGATACTGCCAAAGGAACAGAAAATAACAAGTGTTGGCGAGGATGTGGAGAAACTGGAACCCTTGTACGCTGCTGGTGGGAATGTAATATTATGCAGCTGCTGAGGAAAATAGTATGGTGGTTTCTCAAAAAATTAAAAATAGTGGGACTGCAAACTAGTGCAACCTCTGTGGAAAGCACTATGAAGATACCTTAAAGAGATACAAGTAGGTCTACCATTTGATCCAGCAATCCCATTACTGGGCATCTATCCAAAAGAACAAAAGAC